GTATTACTCAATTTAATGGCACAAAACTTGGCAGCTTTGCAAAATAAAATTTTTAAACTTATTTCGCTCTTCTTTTCCCAAAATTAATGCGCTATCTCCTAATTACACTAACCTCAATTTCGTGGATAAGATATAATTAAAAAGTTTCTGCGCTTCCTGAATGTTCTTTTATAGTGCAACATGCTCACACATAAATTTCTTTTCCGCAGTGTTTAATAGCGTAGGAAATTCCTCGGGTATCAACAAACGCTGGATTTCGCCCATTTTCGCCTCTATTTTCTCTCAGTATTCTGACCTGAACGAAAGTAAATTCTAGTAAACAACATTGTGCACCTCAAGTTAACCCAATGAACTAAATAAACAACCTCAAGTGTGCGTTCAATCTTCCAATCCCGAACCTTTCATCAGATATGTAATCTGCTGTACATACAGGACAGGAAATCAAAACACAAACGCGAATTTGTTGCCACACCCTCCATTCGCAGTAGATTGTGAACGCTTGTCAGGAGCGATTAGTCAAATTTACACAAATCTACCCGTTATTACTCGCCTATCGCCCAACTCACTCATATAGAAACCACGACTGAGAAGGAAGTTATCGCAGGGCCGCCCAACGGCAAAGGACTTCTAGTCGAAGTATGTGAAGGTATTCGAGGCTAAAATATTAATACTTGATTAAAGGGCACGTAATGTGCGCCTTATGCATGATAAATGGACAGTAGGAAATAAACTAAAGCCGCTGATAATAGTTTCACTGAATTAAAAATATAGATAAACGGCAAAACTATCTTATAAGGCCCCCAAAATATTTCTTCCCCCGCCAACTTGTCTAAAGTAGTTGTAGTCAATCAGTTAATTATTGGATAGTGAGTGTAAATGAATATTTAATTGTGGTTGAGATGCTAAAAAATATAAGACTAAAGAAACGTATATTTTTTTTAATGTACTACAGATAATCAAATTAATCAACACAGTCTCGTGTTGCTCAGATTACTGATATCACTTGAGGGAAATTCAACCTTATATTGGCGGCCTCAAAATAAAAAAAATGAAATTTAACGTTATGCTGGCGGGATTTAAGAAAAAAGGGTAAACCGGATTACTGAAAATGTAAAGGTAGGTTATTATTATAAGTTAAAGGCCAAAGGGGCCTCTAAAGATAGTCCTGCCGTTAAACGCATGCTAAAAGAAAACGAAAGACCGAGAGAAATGCCTATTGGTCAGTAGAGGAAGCCTATAGAACAAGAAAACTATAGCATAAGTCGTACTGGTTAATAACACAAGCCTATAGATATATACACACTTAAATCAACTCCCAACTATAAGACGGCCTCATTATTTATTTCTACCGGCCTTTAGTCTACGCAACCAATGGTCACGCATCTTTATAGACAGTGACACCTTAATTTTTATGAAGGAACTATCCAGTTCATTTTACGTGGTTCTCCAGAGTAGTCAGATCCTGAAAGTGCACTATGAACGCCCTTAAATCGAGCAATAAAAAACGGCACAGAAAATTATCATCTTCCGCAATTCGTGTCCAGTATGTGCTTTTAAAATATCAAACGTAACCAATGCCATTTGCGCTGCAGTAAATACCGACCAGATTTGTCCTTCAGAGATTGGCATCGAGATCCTTGGTCACTTCCATTTACATCAGCAGACTAAAGATTGATTCTGCTGATGGCATAGTATTTTGCGAAGTGCGTGAAAGATCTACCAACCCTACGACGTAGTATGGCATCCGTAACTTTAGCCCTTTTCGAAGAATGCATATGACGTTTTGACGCCCAATTGCTTATTCATGCAACTTGTGGCGCCAACGTCGACAGTAAACTAGCCCATGGCGTGCGACTCACTAGAGGTCCATAAGAACCGCACCACCCCCTTTCACCAAGAAGGTAATGGACAAGCAGCAGGAAAGAACCTGACATTAATTAACATCCTGAGGGCTTCTGTGGAAGAAGATAACCCACACGAAAGAGCCGAAGTCTGCCCTGCATGCCGGTAGAATTTCCACGTCCCTACGTATTATACTCCTTTTATAATGATGACGTACCGCACTTTCCGTTTGCCAGTCAACTTTATTAGATACCAACAAAAACTACTACAACTCGCCACCAGCATAGCGCGCATACATTTTTTATCAGCTTAGGAAATACAGAAAAGCAAATCCGATCAAAAAACGCGGGGCTCGTTGTTCTAATGTGAAAATATCAAAATTTCCCTGCGCTAGGCACGTCCTAGAAAAGTTTTCACTACTAAGAGAGCCCAATCATTATCTTTGGCATCAGACCAGGGCCAAATACGTCCTACGAGATGCCGATCACCGAAATGGGCCAGTTTTTTACGGTATATTTCAATGAGATCAGATCGGCTGTTGAACTTAGGCGCAGACGCTAGTTCCCAAACCCCAAGTCAAGGAAAACGGTTCGATGTGAAAGCGCTTTTACTGAGACATAAGAGCTCAAAAAACGATCTGCAATTAACTAAATAAATTTTTATATTTTAGGCCCGGAGGGCCTCGTCATTGCTTAGTTGCTACAAATCGTCTCAACAGGCAAGTGTTGCTGCACACTGCTGGAATTCTTAGGTTCCAAACGCGCGTCTACCCATGCTTCAACTGTGTCCTCGTGCAGTCATCTTCCGCCTTAGTAGTTGGAGACACTTTATAAATAGAAGAGTTGTCAATACGAAGGTTTCCCAAATCAGAAACCGGTGAAGACGGATTAGGCTGGAGCAGCTTTATAATGAGACAAGGAGCGAACAAAAGTTCGTGCAACTAATTGTCGTTAGCTGACTCCTCAGGCAGGCAATATCAGTCACTGTTCGCTTTTGGAATAGGGGCATTAACCGGATTAAAAATATGACAGCGACAAGCCCGTGGACGGACTAATACTACTACTGCGAATGTTTACCCATCCTCACATCTTCATCAGATCAGCGTACATGGTACTGGGCTTCGCAGTCCGGGAACAGCCAAGGCGTTCAGTCCGAAATGCGCTTAAACACAATCAAAAGATATAAATATTTGGTACGAATAAAATGGCATCAAACAAACAGCGTTTGTGCACAAGGCGTCTGAGAGAAAGAAATGTTGCAGAACGCGGCGCATGAAAATGGAAGCTTACAGTCCAATCGTTTAGCTAGATATACTGTGCGAATTTCATCACCGTCCGCGTGGTTTGAGTGTCACACAAACAACGAACGAATTATTTTCACCCTCGCATTGCCCGCCAGGATTGATTTAAGAATAAAAATATATATGATGTCAGGAGTAGCATACCATTTTTGAGTTAGATGAAGATGGTTAGCGTGAAGATTGCTTTAGATATTCCATTATGGTGGTTACAACAGGCATCGCAAAAAATCGTTAAAGAAGATTCTGCTTAGAATAAGTTTGAGCGGAGTTCGCGGGTGCCCTCAAAGTCAAAGTTTGTGATTGATTTGGCAAAATGAATGCTTGAAATATTAAATATCTTACTGATTATCCTGCATATGTGCCGAGACACACATAATCTGGTATCTCTTCTGGCTGATAACTTGCAAATAACAAGCTCAGCTGCTTTGCTCCGAAAACTGTTTAGTGTTCATCCTCGCGCCCGAACTGAAGATTCTCCGTTATGTTGCTTATAAGCAAAATAATGGAATCCAGTCAGAGAAATGCTTATCACAAAAAATGAATTATAACTAATATTATTCCACAGAAC